TTGTCTCTTGATCTCGCGAGTGTCACTTCTTATTTTTCCTCGTAAAAAGGCACAAGATTTGGAGGATCTCACATGATTTACAGCAAGGCAGAAATCATTCTGTTGGTCTTGCTCGTCCAGGTCTTCTCCATAGCCACCGTCGTGCTCCTCATAGCCACTATCCTCTGAATCGCCAGTCTCAAACGCTTCTTGGCGCATCAAGTGAATTGCTTCTTCAAAGATATTTGGCTCATCCTCAATCAAAAGAAGAAACATTTCCAGCCTCAAGTCTTCAGATTCAGCCCCGAATCGTCTGTACGCAAGCTGCTCCCATTCAACCAATTTCTGGATGCTTTCTGGCAGACCCAGGGATGCTTCGCTGCAAAACTTGGATCTCATGGCACTTGAGACGATGACACAATGAAGACACTGATCTGAAAATCCATCTTGAGCCGCCAAAAAACTGCTGCAAGTTACGGATTTTCAGAAAAAAAAAATGATTAGGTTGAGCTGATACAAACATGTCCCTCTTGCATTCTGTTTCAAGGGAACCTCACCCCAAATGCAAGACTGTCCAATTTTGAGTGTCTCTGAAAAGGCAAGTAGTGCTTAAGGTTCACTGAGCTTCAAACCCTTAAGGGTGTTTTCAATGGAGGAGTTGGGCAGATTGGGCACGGCTTGTCGGGAGAACGCCATCATGGTGGGTCGAGACTCATTCTTCGATCTCTCCACAGCATACCTGAAAAGGACATGTTTCAGATGTCTGAGTCCAAACCAGAATCCAATTCTTGCTCAAAACAAGATGGAAGAAGACAAATGGCTCTGACATGCTTTAGAAATGCTTTGACATGTTTTGACATGTTTTGACACGCTGTGACATCCCTTTGACATCTTTTTGACCAAAGTGCTTGTAGGCACCCGCGGTCTCATTGCCATCAGCCGGGCGCATCACGGTGAGATCTGGGATGAGACGCAGAGATGGAATGGTCTCAATGGGCTGATGGGTGGGGCCATCCTCTCCGACCTGAATTCGCCAAAGCTCCCCAAGCTCAAGGTAAAGACAGGACCAGAAAATAAGACATCTATATACAGGTGCCAAAAAATAAAAGCACCGAAGGGCTCGCAAAAGGCCTACTGTAGCGACAGAAGCACCTGCAGACCACCATAGATAAATTGCATACTAGTAGTCTTTGCACAGCATCTGCAATATGGACTAAGCTAAGTGGTGAAGACCCAACACACTAAGAACAACCCGCAAAAGGCTGTTTAAGACAAGCTGCAGCAATGGAATCATGCGTAGTGACGAAGATGGTGCCTGCCTGGGAGAGTGCGGCAATTCGAATGGCGCCACGCATGTAGTCGGTGAAGATAGTGAAAGTGGCGCAGTAAGGGATCATGCCTGCGGAACGGAACTGAATGGCCAAAGCCTTCTTTGGAGAAATGAAAAATGTCGTGACTCATGGGCCCTCATGCTTGGCTCTTCCAAACTTAACATACAACAAGATCCATCTAACAACACCTCGTGTTAAAGTGCCAATGCTCTACACATTGACTGCCAGAAATTCAACGATTGACCTTACTCCTGCCTGTCTTGTCAAGAGAGAGCGCATTGGCCACTGCTCCCATGCCGAACTCGCGGATGCCAAAGCGCATGTTGCGCTCGGCATAGCTGTCTTTCAAGAAGTCACCAGTGCACTTCATCCTCAGATTCAGCACCAATTGCACCTCTTGCAAAACTTCTTTGTCTGTCCAATCAACACACAACACACAGCACATTGCTGCCTCATGTTTAAATGTCGTGAAGGGAACTCCGACGATCCACAAACCATCAACATCAATAAATACAACGTGGCACTTTCGTAATGGTCCACAACATGAAACATCTTAAAGTCTTCTTGTCTGAGGGGCAGGGTCATGTTGGAAGGTGCCAAGTCTGCGGAACCACCCATGAACTCAGGCAGCACGTTGGCAATGGCGTTGAGGCAGTCCTGTCATGTACAATTCCTTTCAACTTGTGAAACTTCTGCACTTGTGCGGACCATAGCTGCTATAGCTAAATGAGAGAAGGTTCCTGTTCCTATACCAGAATCTTGAACAAGCTCATCTTGGAAGCTTCATGTCTAGTAAACAACATGACAACCTACGTTCCCAACCCAAGCTTCTTCTCCTGAGAGTGGAGACGTGTTGCCTTGCCCTTGTCCTCTGGGGTAACCTGCGCACAGAAGCGTGCAAGTTTGTGCACGCATTTTGTGCCTTCTTCACTAAAACAACTGAAATCCACCGTTGGAGATCACCTGAATGGAGATCCTGTTGGATCAATCAAAATTGCGCAGAATCAATCAAATCAATCGAGAAAAAAGCCTCCAGTGGAACAGATTCTGGGCCTTAGGCAGGGCATCATCCCAGTTCTCAGGCAGCTTGCGATCAACCACAGCGCGCTGGAACTGCGCGGCGAGCTCAGGCTCCTTCTCCTGGTACTCCTGCAATTCAAATCCAGACATCCAAAAAATATACCTTTCGGCCTCATCTCACTCAAGGTGACTCTAAAAAATCACTCAAAGAAGTTCAAGGTGCGTAACGGAAGAGATCAAGGCTGGAAAGTGAACAAATCAGGGCGCCTTCCACATCTTCTCCCAGGCTGCCTGCTTCTCAGCACCTGCCTTTGCGTGCTTGCTGAAGGTGTCATACACCTGCTCTGGCACCTCACAGGATAACTTTGTCTCATCCTTTCTGGCACAATTTTGTGCATGCAATTTGCTTAACCATTGCAGCCACTGAACAACAAAGTGGCACCAGAACTTGGCACAAAAATTTTGGCAGCTTCAGGTATACACCTCGAACTCTCCGTAGTTCCAGCCCAGCTGCTTGCGAGTGGCCTAGTCGCATGGCAAGTCACAGAAGATTTCTCAAATCACAGCTTGGCAGCTGGCAGCAAAACCGTTAAACCCCGGCCTCAGCCTCATCTGCACCGAGGGGTGCACCATGGGCATCATGGCTGTCAGCCTCAGCAAGCGCGCAGTTCTGCTCAGTTCTGTGTACATCTCCGTCCATTCTCGAGGTCATGCCATGCTGCAGTGCCTTCCAGACTCTCGCTCCGTTCCTACCCCGTTTCCCCTTCCAACCCCAACTTTCCGAATGCAGCTGAGAGCGAGACCTTGTTGGGAGAGCCGAAGCCGATAGTGGTCTTCACCTGTCCCCGAAACTAGTCAAACATCATCAGAGTGAGGTGATGTGTGAGTTTGCATCCCATCAATTCATGAGAGGTAAACAATGGTAAGCACACGTAAACACACGTAACACCTTCCTAGTGACAGTTTCTGGTTGCTCCCTGCCTTGATCAAAGTTGGCTTGTCAGTGCAAGCCTTGGCCTCCTGCGACAGTTTCAAAGGGTTCGCTGTCAACATCGACAGAAGTGACAGAAGTGACGGAAGGTCGGCATCGTCGGAATCAAGTTGCACCAGCCCGCCTTGATGGCCTTGCGGATGGCATCCACATCGGTGTTGCCCTCAGGCACTTCCAGCACCTGCAAGGCAGCTGATCCGGAGATCAACCGAAATGCTTCGCAATGTCAATGTGAGTTCTAAAAAGTCGATGTTGGAAAGGTTAAGGAATGATTTCGCTTCTTGCAGATAGGGTGTGTGGTTGTCTTGTGCCCATTCATCAAAGCCATTTCCTATCTGCCCTACTTAAAGCTTTCACTTTGACTGCATGCCAGCTTCTTACATAGAATCTCCACAATCTTGACAGTCTTGTTCAACACAGCGCATTTAGCACGACAAAGTCTACCATGTCTTGGTACATTTGGGAAGCACCTGCCATCCATAGCCTTCAAAGCGCTTGCCGACATCCTCAGTGAAGGAGAGATCGGTGTGTCCATCGATGGTGATGCCGTTGTCATCGTAGAAAGCCTGAGTCACAGCAAGCCCTTCAAAAAGTGTTGCAAGAGTTCAGGTTCGGTAGAATTGACCTTTTCTGCAGTTTTGGAGGCTTGTGCAGCTTGTTGCTGCCAGGGAACAATCAGCTTTCCCAGGCCCAAGTGGCCAGCATATGCGCAAGCTTCGTGAGAAATGCCCTCCTGCATGCATCCATCACCTGCAAGAATTTGTGACAAGGCTTCGGCTGTGCACGCTGATACTCAAATGCGATCGTGACGTCAAAATCGATTGGACAGGTTCAAGTAGGTCATAGAAGGTTCGTGCAGCCGCTTCAGTCCGAAAAGTACACACCCAGTTTGGGCTGGACTTTTGAAAGGAAGAATGACTCGACGTTTGTGACAACTCAATGCGGAAATGTGTGGATATACCTCGTGAAAACACATGCCTTGTAAAGAAACAAGTGAAACACATGTTCGCATATGTTTTCTGCCTGCAATGGTGTAGGTGTAGTGGTCGATCAGCTCCATGCCAGGTTTGTTGTAAACCTAATCGAAAGGCCACCGATCTGAAAAATGCAGCCTTCAGAGAACTTAGGGAATCAATCAAACCTTACGGCCTTACGGAGGCAAGTTTTTTGTGCTCTTGTGCTGCGGTTCCAAGTCCTGGAGAATCAGTTGAATCCAAGTTCCAGTGAAAATGTGCGTCCCTGAACTCGAAACAAGGCGCTGCTGCAAGGTGGGCTTCAGCGGCCGCCAAGCCAACCGCATTGGAGATACCCATGCCAAGGGGTCCGGTGGTCCTATGCAGAAATCTTCTCACACGGGGCTTATACCCTTTAGACTCTGAAACAAAGAGGCCAAGATCAACATGGAATTGAAACTGATCAAACATGATCGAACATGATCAAATATGATCAAACATATAAATGGATTTAAAAACTGGCACTTTTTTGAAGGTTCAACATGCGACCAAGGTGCACTTCAATGCCCTCGGTCTCGAAGTTCTCTGGGTGGCCGGGAGTCTTGGAGCCCCACTGTCGGAACTGCTTGATGTCATCGATCGAGACGCTCTTGTAGCCAGCCAAATGCAGCAAAGAGTACTGGAGCATGCAACCGTGACCAGAAGAAAGAACAAAACGGTCACGATTCACCCACTTTGGATCCTCAGGATTGTACTGCATCTCCTCTGCAAAGAGAAGGTATCCGATAGGTGCCTGACCCATAGGAGCACCAGGGTGGCCACTGTTGGCCTTGTTCACTGCATCCACTGCCAAGAAGCGGATGGCGTTGATGCACTCAGTGTCGACATCAACTTCAGTTGCTGTGGCCATACGAACGACCTTCTCCTTCTTCGCACATCGCTTGGATGGGCGAACAGTCGCTGCAGCTGCCAGTGCCGCTGCACCCGCACCAACCACGCTGGCACTTGCACCGACAGCGCTGGTCGGTGCAGCTGACGCCACCGGTGCTGGGGCGCTGGTCACGACATTCAGCTTCTTAGCCAGATTTTCGAACAATGCAAAAATCAAGGTGGCACAGATTCGACGCAGAAACATTCAAATTGGAACATTGAAACAGACATGTACCCAAATTCAAACCATCTCACGCAGGCTGGCTATGATCGATTCTCTGCCACATACTGTGCAGCCAAGGTACTGTCGGTGCCACGAAAGCAGGCACCAACATGGTGGCAGCAGCACCAGCAGCCACTGCTGCGGTAGCACGTTGGGAGCGAGTGGTTGGCATGGCAAGAAATACAGAGGCACTGGGAGGCTACTATGTAATGGAGCAAAATGCTGCCATGAAAGGCATTTCTCATCCAATAGTGCAAAAGCATTTGCTTCAAATCTTGTAGCTTCCAGCAGATTGTATGACAAGAAATCACACAAAAGCCAAATCAGCATCAATAGACCATCGTGTACATGCACCCAAAAACGTCATGACGGCATGAATGAGATGCAAGAATCTGTTTTTTTTCACGACACCTCTCACCACGGCTGCCACATAACGTCCAATGGGAATGAGCTGTGGAACAGTCTGGGAAAGGTTTTGGTCGCAGAAGCCACCACTGCGGGTTGAAAAATTGGGTGCTTGCCCGCCGGTTAGCTGCTTCAGCGCACCCTGCTTAAGCTTCCAGAGAAACAGAAAATTCATGAAATCATGTGGAGATAAATGAAATATGTGAAGTTTGCTATCTCCATTCGCAACTCAAGACTGTTGTTTCAATCTTAAACTTTGCGATTATCCAAGACTGGAAGGTCACACAAGAGCTGATTGCGAGGAAAATGTCTGCATTTAAAAGTGCGAAGGAAAATAAGTCCAAGCCAGCCGTTCAAATGCAATCAGATTTCGGTTGATTCGTTCAACAGCTGGCTCGGCCATTAAGTCAACAAGAGATAGAATGCCTAGTTCTTGCCCTGGCTGCCGTTGGACCTCGGAAAAGCTCGAAAAAACCAATGGCTTGCGACAAAAAGTCATGTAAAGGCTGGTCTTCAAAGACAAATTACTTCAGCTGACTTCAAATTTCAGAGATGCTAGGCCACCCTGCAGCGCGCCCTTCTCACCGGAGAGGCACCTGAACGAAATCAATGAGAGCCTGCAGCCTTCTTTTCATGCCACTCAAGCTCTCCCTATCCCTTGACGCAAAGTCTCTCGGATCTTAATCTTTGTCCCGTTTCGTACAGCGTTAAAAATCTTTAAAATCAATGAAATAGATGACTCGCAGCAGTTTGAGTCTGAATCGGTGTCAACTGAGGTGGTAGAACACGGGACACCGTCAGGAAAAAGATCTCATGATAGCGGGGACAATTCGTACAAATCGACCTTCTTTGGTGGTGGTCATTCAGCCTTGGGATGCCTTGGGTATACCTTCCATACATACGTTGGAACTGCAAGCAAAGCTGGTGCTTGGAAGTCCCAGCAAGCTTTGTCTGACAGGCATAAATCCACTATCTGGGCGCCACTAGCTTCTGAGGTGTTTTCATCGCTTGTGATGTCTCTTGTGAGCATCATCGTTCAGGAATCCTTTTGCCACGGAAACAGTTCAGGAATTGATCTTTTTGAATTGAATTTGAGTTCATTCTGCAAGTTTTGGACGAAGATTCTTGGCAAACCTGTCCAGCCCTCACCTCTCGGTACAGCTGACAACGTTGTCGACGTTGAAGCCAAATTTGTCCAGGCCTCACATTGTCGTAAGTGTATGTCTCGCGGTATGTCTGAGCCCAATCCCGGAGATGTCTCTACATTTTGTCTTTGGATGAAATCTATAACTAAAGTTGTGGTCTATGAATGTTTACAATAGAATACTGTATGCTCCTGTTACATCAGATATTCTACGATTTTGCAAGTGTCAGATCTCAAATGAGAGGATATCATATTGTCAGATTGTCATATTTCGATGTATCATTTCTGATATCACAGGCGGCATGGGTCCCACATCCTAGTCTGGACTGGAACCATTTGACCAGTAGCTAATGGTAAGACAGTGTCAAATGCTGCAAGATATGAATATGACACAATATGACACAAGATGACTATGCAAGATGACGGAAGATGATGCGAGAGTGGTAATTAGGGTAGGGCAGTTATCGAAATTCGACAGAGTCAAAGTCGATTTTGATCCAAGCCACAGGTTCCGCCGGGCGCAGAGGCACCGAAAACATCGATTCCAACAAACGCATCAGCCTTGAACCCAAGTGAATTCTTGACAAGTCATTTGTCAACCCTTGTCAAACTTGTCAAAACAAACTTTCTGCGATGATCCAGAAACTTGAAGAGGATGTGGCGTTGCTCGGCAGCTGTTTGCTCTCTGTACCAAGGCCCTCACAAACTCACCCCAGCCAGCAGTGCATGCAGCCTGCCAGATTCAGAAACTATGCCGGAAACTCTCCAAAGGGCAAGCAGGGCAAGCACCCAGACACGTTTGCCACACCGTGTTCCGACCAACACTCTGTAGGCAAGTTACCTCCACGCTCATCTTGGGCACATCTGCAGGCAACAGCTTGCTCTTGTAGCTCTCAGGCTGTTCCTAGTATCGACGGCCAGGCATGCAGCAAAATTTACATGGCATCTCTTCCAATCCATCTGCTCACCCCTGAAAGAGCTGGGAAGGAAAGAGGTATGTACTACTAATATATGGATATGTGTCTTCTGCCTTTCGACTACAGACACGTCAAAGTCACAGAACATGTTCTTGTTTCCTTGCAACCACTCATGACTAACAGCAGACTGTACGACTATATCTGTTTGAGACAAGCACTCTGAAGACCTCGCAGGAGGGCATGGACACCTCAGCTTCAAAGATCTTCAAAGATCTTCAAAGATCTTCAAAGATCTTCAAAGATCTTCAAAGATCTCAGCACAAGATCTCAAGTGCCGGAAAGTACAGGATGGCGAAGAATGAAAGAACGAAACAGACCGTTTCTCGAGGAGTGAAAATCATCCATCCCCCTGCGAGAATGAACTTCAGCTTGGACCCGAACCACTCGCACCTGCAAAACTGTAAGGAATGGAAATCTCACAGATCAGTTTTAAGTCGAAATGCATGTAATTGGTCCTCGATGTGAAACTAACTTTGACTGTTTGCAATTCTATCAGATTCTATCTATTTCTATCTCTTATTATTTGAAAAAAGATCTTTCAAAGAAATGCTTTGATTCTGAGCCTTCTTGTCCAGCTTCTCGGCAGCATCCACACAGAGACCAACCTCCGAGCCGGTGCCAATCCTTGGAACTGCAACTGAAAACTCGGAAAAATTCGGAAAGCGAGTTGGGATGCAGTTAGGATGCAAAATGATGCAGACAAGTTGCAAGATCAGCTCCGGATCGGCGCACTCAATCACCTCGTAAGCACCTCACTCTGGCAGACTGACTGGTTGCAGTTGAAGACGCGATGTTCTCGATAATCCATATTGAACCGTCATTTCAAAACAATGTTGCAGGAGCATGTTCAGATTTTCAGAGCAATATATGGCCCTTTCCCAGGTTTCCATTTCTGTGAGACTTGCAAGACTGTCCAATTTTGAGTGTCTCTGAAAAGGCAAGTAGTGCTTAAGGTTCACTGAGCTTCAAACCCTTAAGGGTGTTCTCAACGGAGGAGTTGGGCAGATTGGGCACGGCTTGTCGGGAGAACGCCATCATGGTGGGTCGAGACTCATTCTTCGATCTCTCCACAGCATACCTGAAAAGGCCATGTTTCAGATGTCTGAGTCCAAACCAGAATCCAATTCTTGCTCAAAACAAGATGGAAGAAGACAAATGGCTCTGACATGCTTTAGAAATGCTTTGACATGTTTTGATATACTGTGACATCCAGGACAAAGACAGAATCAGTCACCCGAGTCAGTCGCCCCAAACGTCCAAGCCAGGAACCCCATAGCACAAAGTCAGTCACCGCTGAACACCAGCACAGGATGCAGGGAGACCATGAACGAGAGACAGAAAGTCAACAACAAAGAGTCGGTCACCCCTGGAAGGAGAACAACAACAAAGAGTCGGTCACCCCTGAAAGCCAGAGAGAGGATCAAGGAACCCATGGGAGAATGGGAAAACAGAAAGTCAACAACAAAGAGTCCCTCAAGAAGCCTTAACGCAACCCTAGATAAACCCCAAACCAACACTAAGCAAACCCTAAACCAACCCTCATGCCTGACAAAACCCTACATTAACCCTAAACCAACCCTAAATAAAGCCTAAACAATTTTTAAACAAATCCTGACGAAACCCTTATTAACCCTAAACCAACCAACCCACAAGAAACCCTAAACCAACCCGAAATATACCCTAAACCAACCTAAATATACCCTAAACGAAACTTAAACAAACCCTAAACTAACCCTAAATAAACCCTAAACCGACCTTGAATAAACCCTAAGCCAACCCTAAGTAAACCCCAAACCAGCGTTAAAACAAACCCTAAACCAACCCCAAAACAAACCCTGACGAAACAATAATTCAACCCTAAACCAACCAAAAGAAACCCTAAACCAAGCATCCATAAACCCCAAACCAAGACTGCATAAACCCGAAAACAAACCCTACAGAAACCCTCAACCAACCTTCAAGCAAAACCTGACGAAACCCAAATTTCACCTTAAAATCCTTAAACCAAACCTAAATAAACCCAAAACCAACCCTAAATAAACCTTAAACTAACCTTAAAACAACTCCTGACGACCCCCATCACTACCCTAAACCAACCCTTTAAAAACCCTAAATCAACCCAAACTAAACCCCAAGCCAACACTAAGTCAACCCTAAATATACCCTAAAATCATGAGGAAACCCTGCAGAAACCTTAAACCAACCCTAAAACCAATAGACCCCAATACACCTTGAAACAACCCTGAACCAAGCCTAAAGAAACCATATCACTTTGATGGCCCACGAGGCACACCGCAGGGCAGTCACCCCTCACCGCCAGGCCCCTCCACAGTGGGTGACTCCGCCGAGGGGGGATTGACTCAGGGTGGTCTGACTCTGCTAGTGGTTCCGTCTGGTCTCGTGACATCCGTTTGACATCTTTTTGACCAAAGTGCTTGTAGGCATCCGCGGTCTCATTGCCATCAGCCGGGCGCATCACGGTGAGATCTGGGATGAGACGCAGAGATGGAATGGTCTCAATGGGCTGATGGGTGGGGCCATCCTCTCCGACCTGAATTCGCCAAAGCTCCCCAAGCTCAAGGTAAAGACAGGACCAGAAAATAAGACATCTATATACAGGTGCCAAAAAATAAAAGCACAGAAGGGCTCGCAAAAGGCCTACTGTAGCGACAGAAGCACCTGCAGACTTGGGGACACCGTAGATACATTGCATGCTAGTTAGTCTTCGCAAAGAATCTGCAACGTGGACTAAGCTAAGTGTAAAAAGACCCAACACACTAAGAACAACCCACAAAAGGCTGTTTAAGACAAGCTGCAGCAATGGAATCATGCGTAGTGACGAAGATGGTGCCTGCCTGGGAGAGTGCGGCAATTCGAATGGCGCCACGCATGTAGTCGGTGAAGATAGTGAAAGTGGCGCAGTAAGGGATCATGCCTGCGGCACGGAACTGAATGGCCAAAGCCTTCTTTGGAGAAATGAAAAATGTCGTGACTCATGGGCCCTCATGCTTGGCTCTTCCAAACTTAACATACAACAAGATCCATCTAACAACACCTCGTGTTAAAGTGCCAATGCTCTACACATTGACTGCCAGAAATTCAACGATTGACCTTACTCCTGCCTGTCTTGTCAAGAGAGAGCGCATTGGCCACTGCTCCCATGCCGAACTCGCGGATGCCAAAGCGCATGTTGCGCTCGGCATAGCTGTCTTTCAAGAAGTCACCAGTGCACTTCATCCTCAGATTCAGCACCAATTGCACCTCTTGCAAAACCTCTTTGTCTTTCCAATCAGCACACGGCGCATTGCTGCCTCATGTTTAAACGTTGTGAATGAATACGCCGTGGCACTTTGATAATGGTCCACAACATGAAACATCTTAAAGTCTTCTTGTCTGAGGGGCAGGGTCATATTGGAAGGTGCCAAGTCTGCGGAACCACCCATGAACTCAGGCAGCACGTTGGCAATGGCGTTGAGGCAGTCCTGTCATGTACAATTCCTTTCAACTTGTGAAACTTCTGCACTTGTGCGGACCATAGCTGCCTATACCAAAATCTTGAACAAGCTCATCTTGAAAGCTTCATGTCTAGAGTCTAGTAAACAACATGACAACCTGCGTTCCCAACCCAAGCTTCTTCTCCTGAGAGTGGAGGCGGGTTGCCTTGCCCTTGTCCTCTGGGGTAACCTGCGCACAGAAGCGTGCAAGTTTGTGCACGCATTTTGTGCCTTCTTCACTGAATCACATGAAGTCCACTGTCAATCAAAATCGCGCAGAATCAATCAAATCAATCGAGAAAAAAAAAAACCTCCAGTGGAACAGATTCTGGGCCTTAGGCAGGGCATCATCCCAGTTCTCAGGCAGCTTGCGATCAACCACAGCGCGCTGGAACTGCGCGGCGAGCTCAGGCTCCTTCTCCTGGTACTCCTGCAATTCAAATCCAGACATCCAAAAAACCATACCTTTCAGCCTCATCTCACTCAAGGTGACTCTAAAAAATCACTCAAAGAAGTTCAAGGTGCGTAACGGAAGAGATCAGGGCTGGAAAGTGAATAGATCAGGGCGCCTTCCACATCTTCTCCCAGGCTGCCTGCTTCTCAGCACCTGCCTTTGCGTGCTTGCTGAAGGTGTCATACACCTGCTCTGGCACCTCACAGGATAACTTTGTCTCATCCGTTCTGGCACAATTTTGTGCATGCAATTTGCTTAACCATTGCAGCCACTGAACAACAAAGTGGCACCAGAACTTGGCACAAAAAGTTTGGCAGCTTCAGGTATACACCTCGAACTCTCCGTAGTTCCAGCCCAGCTGCTTGCGAGTGGCCTAGTCGCATGGCAAGTCACAGAAGATTTCTCAAATCACAGCTTGGCAGCTGGCAGCAAGCTTTTGTTAAACCCCGGCCTCAGCCTCATCTGCACCGAGGGGTGCACCATGGGCATCATGGCTGTCAGCCTCAGCAAGCGCGCAGTTCTGCTCAGTTCTGTGTACATCTCCGTCCATTCTCGAGGTCATGCCATGCTGCAGTGCCTTCCAGACTCTTATTCCGTTCCTACCCCGTTTCCCCTTCCAATCCCAACTTTCCGAATGCAGCTGAGAGCGAGACCTTGTTGGGAGAGCCGAAGCCGATAGTGGTCTTCACCTGTCCCCGAAACTAGTCAAACATCATCAGAGTGAGGTGATGTGTGAGTTTGCATCCCATCAATTCATGAGAGGTAAACAATGGTAAGCACACGTAATTAAACACACCTTACTAGTGACAGTTTCTGGTTGCTCCCTGCCTTGATCAAAGTTGGCTTGTCAGTGCAAGCCTTGGCCTCCTGCGACAGTTTCAAAGGGTTCGCTGTCAACATCGACAGAAGTGACAGAAGTGACGGAAGTTCGGCATCGTCAGAATCAAGTTGCACCAGCCCGCCTTGATGGCCTTGCGGATGGCATCCACATCGGTGTTGCCCTCAGGCACTTCCAGCACCTGCAAGGCAGCTGATCCGGAGATCAACCGAAATGCTTCGCAATGTCAATGTGGGTTCTAAAAAGTCGATGTTGGAAAGGTTAAGGAATGATTTCGCTTCTTGCAGATTGGGTGTGTGGTTGTCTTGTGCCCATTCATAAAAGCCATTTCCTGTCTGCCCTACTAAAGCTTTGACTGTGACTGCATGTCAGCTTCTTACAGAGAATCTCCACAATCTTGACAGTGTTCAACACAGCGCATTTAGCACGACAAACTCTAACGTGTCTTGGTACATTTGGGAGGCACCTGCCATCCATAGCCCTCAAAGCGCTTGCCGACATCCTCAGTGAAGGAGAGATCGGTGTGTCCATCGATGGTGATGCCGTTGTCATCGTAGAAAGCCTGAGTCACAGCAAGCCCTTCAAAAAGTGTTGCAAGAGTTCAGGTTCGGTAGAATTGACCTTTTCTGCAGTTTTGGAGGCTTGTGCAGCTTGTTGCTGCCAGGGAACAATCAGCTTTCCCAGGCCCAAGTGGCCAGCATATGCGCAAGCTTCGTGAGAAATGCCCTCCTGCATGCATCCATCACCTGCAAGAATTTGTGACAAGGCTTTGGCTGTGCACGCTGATACTCAAATGCGATCATGACGTCAAAATCGATTGGACAGGTTCAAGTAGATCTAGAAGGTTCGTGCAGCCGCTTCAGTCCGAAAAGTACACAACCAGTTTGGGCTGGACTTTTGACAGGAAGAATGACTCGAAGTTTGTGACAACTCAATGCGGAAACTTGTGGATATACCTCGTGAAAACACGTGCCTTGTAAAGAAACAAGTGAAACACATGTTCGCATATGTTTTCTGCCTGCAATGGTGTAGGTGTAGTGGTCGATCAGCTCCATGCCAGGTTTGTTGTAAACCTAATCGAAAGGCCACCGATCTGAAAAATGCAGCCTTCAGAGAACTTAGGGAATCAATCAAACCTTATGGAGGCAAGTTTTGTGCTCTTGTGCGGTTCCAAGTCCTGAAAAATCAGTTGAATCCAAGTTCCAGTGAAAATGTGCGTCCCTGAACTCGAAACAAGGCGCTGCTGCAAGGTGGGCTTCAGCGGCCGCCAAGCCAACTGCATTGGAGATACCCATGCCAAGGGGTCCGGTGGTCCTATGCAGAAATCTTCTCACACGGGGCTTATACCCTTTAGACTCTGAAACAAAGAGGCCAAGATCAACATGGAATTGAAACTGATCAAACATGATCGAACATGATCAAATATGATCAAACATATAAATGGATTTAAAAAACTGGCATTTGTTTGAAGGTTCAACATGCGACCAAGGTGCACTTCAATGCCCTCGGTCTCGAAGTTCTCTGGGTGGCCGGGAGTCTTGGAGCCCCACTGTCGGAACTGCTTGATGTCATCGATCGAGACGCTCTTGTAGCCAGCCAAATGCAGCAAAGAGTACTGGAGCATGCAACCGTGACCAGAAGAAAGAACAAAACGGTCACGATTCACCCACTTTGGATCCTCAGGATTGTACTGCATCTCCTCTGCAAAGAGAAGGTATCCGATAGGTGCCTGACCCATAGGAGCACCAGGGTGGCCACTGTTGGCCTTGTTCACTGCATCCACTGCCAAGAAGCGGATGGCGTTGATGCACTCAGTGTCGACATCAACTTCAGTTGCTGTGGCCATGCAAACGACCTTCTCCTTCTTCGCACATCGCTTGGATGGGCGAACAGTCGCTGCAGCTGCCAGTGCCGCTGCACCCGCACCAACCACGCTGGCACTTGCACCGACAGCGCTGGTCGGTGCAGCTGACGCCACCGGTGCTGGGGCGCTGGTCACGACATTCAGCTTCTTAGCCAGATTTTCGAACAATGCAAAAATCAAGGTGGCACAGATTCGACGCAGAAACATTCAAATTGGAACATTGAAACAGACATGTACCCAAATTCAAACCATCTCAGGCAGGTTGGCTATGATCGATTCTCTGCCACATGCTGTGCCGCCAAGGTACTGTCGGTGCCACGAAAGCAGGCGCCAACATGGTGGCAGCAGCACCAGCAGCCACTGCTGCGGTAGCACGTTGGGAGCGAGTGGTTGGCATGGCAAGAAAGACAGAGGCACTGGGAGGCTACTATGTAATGGAGCAAAATGCTGCAACACGAAAAGAGACGAGTTGTCAGGATACAACACACATGTCAATGTCAATAATTAGTTTTGATATGCCGCAACAATGCATCAAATATTGATGCCAGCATGGGTTGAAATAACCCCAGGTAAAAACTAGACGACGGATGGCCCGAGAGCGTAGAGGAGCAGGGTCTTCTCTTGTTAGTATGGAGACACCATATTACAAAACAATATACTTGAGGCCCAGGGGGGGTGAACGAAAGCTAAATGGCAAATGAATGTGGAACTAGGTGAGGTGAACTCGGAAACATGCAGGGAAGGGTAGACGAGAGTGATCCACATGGAAGGATGCAAGAGGGTGTCGCAAAAGAAGTGCAAGTTTCAAGTTGCAGTCCTATAACATGTGAAGCATGGGTAGTGGAAAAAGTTAGAAGACGGTTTCGCAAGAAAGTTTGCAACATGTGGAACAAAGAAGATGGTGACTTTATGATAAAGTTTGGGCCACATCGAAAATTATAATTTTCCATGGGGTTCAAATCGAGACACTGTTGAACCGGAGGTAGAAATAACGTTATGGAGTCTAAAGTCTGGTGAGGCATCGTGCGCATGCGAACAACATGTAGGCGGCCGTTGAAAGTCGGAAAACAGCAGAACCAAAGAAGATGGTGCATCCAGAAAGTTTGCAACAGGGGGACCAAAGAACATGGTGATTCTATTATATTTTTTTGGCCCCATCAAAAAATTATAACTTTCTATGGGGCTCAAATCGACAGAGTGTTGATTTGAGGTAGAAAGAACGCGATGGAGCCTAAATTCTGGTGAGGCGTCTTGTGCATGCAAAGAACAGGTAGGCGGTTGCTGCAAATCGGAAGACAGCAGAAGCAAAGAAGATGCTGTCTCTAGAAATTTTGGAACATGTGGACCAAAGAAGATGGTGACTCGATTAAAAAGTTTGGGCCCCGTTGAAAATTACAATTTTCCCTGGGGCTCAAATCGACACAGTGTTGACCTGAGTTAGAAAGAACGTTATGGAACTTAAATTCTGGTGAGGCATCTGGCGCATGCAAACAACACATACGCGGTTGCTCCAAGTCGGTCAGAACCAAACAAGATGGTGCCTCTAGAAAGTTTGGAACATGTGGACCAAAGAAGATGGTGACTCTATAAAGTTTGGGCCCCATCGAAAATTATAATTTTCCATGGGGCTCAAATCGACACAGAGTTGATGTGAGGTAGAAAGAATGCTATGGAGCTCAAATTCTGGTGAGGCATCTTGCGCATGCGAACAACATGTAGGCGGCCTTGCAAGTCGGAAAACAGCAGAACTAAAGAAGATAGTGCCTCCAGAAAGTTTGGAACATGTGAACCAAAGAAGATGGTGACTCTATAAAGTTTGGGCCCCATCGAAAATATTCGGAAATTGTAATTTTCGATGGGGCTCAAATCGACACAGCTTTTACCCGAATCAAAAAGTGCAAAGACTCAGGCGAAAACGCTGCAGTCTATTTTCACTCGTGCCAAAAGGGTCTCACAAGTTTCAACTGCACATGCTGTTCATGTCAGTCTATGAAGTGAAATGACAAATGCAACTCTCTTATCGATTTGTGCGTGTCATCCTGGCACATGTGAGTGGGCTCCACAACTTTCCACACTCCTCCTTTGTGGTTTGAGCGTGGCTCATTCCACAACTCCAAAATTTTCACCTCTCAACGCAAATTTCAGCTCTGCTGTCTGACTCTGCATCATCCAGTGAAAACGTTTTCGAATTCAATCTTTCAAATCATCAAGCTCTGCATGTCTTCGACATAGAGCCTAAACCTGTCTCGGCGTTCATCATCTCCTCTGTTACGGTGAAAACGATATAGCCTCTGGAATATGTTTCTGATCTCATTTGAAATTCTTGTACTGAATCCCTCTGTTAGAGTGGAATCTAGCACCAGACAAATTGCCTGCTGAATCATGTTGGCCTCATGCCAGCGTTCTGCTGCAAGAGCTTGGTTCTGATCTGCCCTCATGTTCTGTAAGAGGGCTTCCATTCCAGTAGGTCTATTGGATTGGTTGTCCTCCACATCTGTTGTCGGACTTTCTTCTTCTCCTCCTTCGTGATCTTCTTGCTGATGTACAATTGGGTCAGTTGAATCTGCACGGTTTCTATGATTCCAAAGCACCAGGTTTCCTCTTTCTTGCGTTAGCATGTGTCGATACTGCTCGGCTGTCAGTTTAGCGTTCCTGACAAAACCACCTATCTCCATCAGTCCATACCTCACGCAATTTGAGGTTTCCTCCAGAGCATTGAAACCTTCTATAGTTTCCTGTTCAAAACCAGTCTGTCTAGCCATCACCGTGTCAATTCTGTTTGACGCATCTGTTGCCAAAGCGTTGCAATCTTCTATTCTTCCATTCAAATCAGCTGCATACTCATAGTGATCGACTAACTGGATCTGGGTTTGCTCCAACTCGTTTGAAACTCCCAGCACTTGGTTCTCCAGTTTCTTGATTTTCTCTTCAATCCACTTCCATGCTCTGAATGCCAGCTTTGAAAACACAGTACCCATGCAAATCACCAAAACCGCAATTGCAAATGAAAACCATGATGTGTCCTTGGTCTCATTGTCCATGTTTGCGCAACTTGACTGCGCCATTGCCGCAACCGGTCCTGCTGACTCAAGACCCCCAGCAACTCCCATGGCAATACTCATGCGTAAAATGGCTTTGGAAATTCTTTTCAATTGTTGGGAATTCAATCTCCTCACATCTTGAATTGCATGCTCATTTGCTCCAACCCTTGAAAAGTCTGCAATGAAAACCAGTTCACATTCATACAACAAATAGAACAACCTCTGTCTGCTCAAAGCTTTTGTCCCGATGTCTGCCACGTTGAGAGTAGTTGGAACCTGTCGAAGTTTGAAGGTATTGTCAGCTGTCTTCTCCTGTATCCATAACAGTTTTCCCGACAGATGCCTCACCTTACCTGACCCTTGCCTGCTTGCCAATTGCCTTGCTGAGCTTGAGTCGGTAAACTGAAAATGTTCCAACTGTTCATCCAAAACAAAAGCAGCACATGCCTTGATGAATATCCCATCGCAAACGCAGCTAACCAAACTATGAAGTTCACTTTCACATGAGCTAAGTGATACAACTCGTTGACTTCGGCTGCTTGAATACATGAAACATCCATTGATGAAATGTATCCCACATGATGTTGAGCGACGTGTCTGCTTGTTTGCACTCCAATCGGCATCGCTGAAGCTCTCAAGTACCCATCGGTGTTGTCCACCAGAAATAACCTTTCCTTGACCATCTTCAGGAAATGGCAGGTGCAAACCAATGTCCCCCACAGATTTCATGAAGCCTACCATCTTGCGTAGGCGTGCAAGTGAAGTCAAAGTGGGAGCACTCATGTATGACGCCAGCTCCTTTATGGTATACATCAAATCTGGCCTTTCACGGCCTGCATACAGACATAGGCCCACAACTGAGCGATATCTCTTGGAATCTTTCTCTGAAAGTCTTTGAGAATTGTCAGGCAACTGGATACTTGCATCACATGGCACTTTCTGTGATCGTGCCTGTCCAAACATCCTCTCAAACAAGGACACCACCTTGTCCACAGTTGTACCCGGGGCCAAAACTAGGCCATCTCCAACCTCCATGATTTTCCTCCTCAAGAAGGTGATGCTTGATCCTGGGCCTTTCAGCTCATGACTCACTGCAAATCTCTCTTTCATCTTCTTCAGAAAAACGTTGTTCCAGAAAGATTTCAATCCCACAAAAAGGATATCATCGACATGTATCATGATCGTGGCCTCAGGTGTCCTTGCTAAGCATGGTTGCTCCGGGCAAAACTCAAAGTTCATGCTTTCCATCAAGAATGATTTCAAACACAAAAACCATTGTTTTGCTCCAAGACGTTGACCTGGGAGATTTCTCTTTATGATTTATTTCTCCACAAAACCAGGATCGACTGAGACTAATCCAAAGAAGGTGGTGGAATTTTCGATTGTCAAATTAATACCCATAAAATTAATACCCATATAATTAGATATTAATTTACATGACGTATAGTCGTGATGTACAGTAAGTAGAATTTATGTAAGTATATCATTTACATAAATAAAACTTACTACATAAAACGCAGTTGCCGACGCTTCGAAAATGAGAACACAAGTGCACCACACTCGGACTTATTATTGATTTCCTTTTTGCTTCCAGTAATTGCACTGTCGGGGGTCTAATCCAAAGCCGGTCGTGGTTCCAGCTGAACTTGTCTTTGGTGCATTGGATGGGCCATGATTCCATCATTGTCAAACGTTGACACAAAGTGATTTGATGCTAAGTGTCAGAGCACCCGATGATTCCCCAATTTTTGGGTGGGAGTGAAAAACGGGGTGGGTGAAAAAATTGCCCTTGTTTAAAAGGGACTCCCTCCCTCCCACCACTTGATTGGGAAAAGGCCACAACATTACAACTGATGATGTGACGTGTGATTGATGTGGTTGTCTCAATGGATTAAATGCCACATCGGAAAACTAAAAATTGAAATGGGAAGTTGAACGCCGAATTGTTTGCGTCTCCACATTTGGTTGGATGATTCAACTCTTCACAAACTTTGTTTACCACCAAAAAGGGAGATGATTTGTTTTGATCCTTATTTGTGAGGCTTCACAAATTTTTGTTTGGAGAAATACGGCTTTCATCTTTTTTCAAAAGAGTGACATCTTATTTCTCCACAAAATCAGGATCGATTGAGACTAATCCAAAGAAGGTGGTGGAAGTTTCGACTGTCAAATTAATATCCATATAATTAGATATTAATTTACATGGCGTACAGTCGTGATGTACAGTAAGTAGAATTTATGTAAATATATCATTTACATAAATAAAACTTACTACAAAAAACGCAGTTGCCGACGCTTCGAAAATGAGAACACAAGTGCACCACACTCGGACTTATTATTGATTTCCTTTTTGCTT